GTATCTGGAAGGAACGCTGTGTAAGAGGGAGATGCCCCCAGCGCATGGGCAGATGCTGGGGGGGGTCACAGGAGGTCACCCAGAGAATGCATGTCCCTGCGTCAGTTCACTGTGCAGCCTGGGCTGTGGCTTTTATTTGGAGAGCAACGGAAACTACAGCAAGTGTTTTCAATTCTGTGTATGGAGGAGGGAGGACGGTTAGTGACATGGTCAGATTTGCATTTCAAGAACATTCTGGCTGGGGCATGAAGGATGAAGGCAACCAGAATAGACGTGGAAAGGCTAGCTAACAAGCCAGTCAGGAGAAAGGAGCAAGTAGTGAGGACTGGGATGGGGACACAGAGATGGCGAGCACTGGATGGATTCAGGAGGTGAGAGGTAGAAGTGATTGGGCTGCGGGAGGGTAAACAGTAAGGAGGAGTCGGGATGGCTCCACGGCTCCTGGCTTGCATGTGGCTGCCCGGTGGAGAACCCTGGAAAGGGGCCAGGTGCTGGGAGCAAGCACGAAGCCATGTGTTTGCCTTGGTCACCGAGAATTTGGGGTGACTGTGAGATGTACAGACAAAGATGTCAAGCAGCTGAGTTGAAGCTTTGTACGTGGGTGAGACAGCTTAGAAAAAGAGTGAGGGATGAAGGTAATCCAGGAACCAGCCTTGAAGGACTCGCCATTTCAGGCCAGAAGGGGCGAGGGCACCAGTGCCAGCGAAGGAGGTGGAGAAGGAACGGCCAGAAGCGCAGTCGAAAGGGCCCCGTGCCCCACCTCCTGCACACCACAGTCATGTTCTCTGCATGGAGTTTACAGTCAGGTGGGGGCAAGGACATTAAGCGAGAAAGCCATAAAATTATAGAAGTATAAGCTGGAATAAGTGTTGTAAAGAGAAATAAAATAAGAGTGAATTGTGGGGCGGGGCGGGGTTCTCCGAGGGACATTTCCTCAGAGCAGCTCATCTAGGACGGGATGCTGGTGAGGGGCCCCTGTCCCAGGGTAATTGCCCCGGGGATCCCTGGTGATTTCTTAAACCCTTGGCACGGAAGATGCCAGTCAGTAAACAGGGAAGTGTTGGAAGGGGGGAAACTCCCTGGCGACCGCTGCCTGCTCCCCACAGGAGAATGTTCTTCCCTCCGGCAGGTGCTGCGGCCGACTGACTCAGTGCCTTCCACCAATGAGTGTCTCCCAATAGAAGCGAGAGGGCCTGCAGAACTGACCCAGGGCACAAATGCCCAGCCAGCCACAAAGGGGTGGAACAGGAAGTATCAGAGGCCCTGGCCCGATCGGAAGATGTTTGGACTCTCGTCCAAGGCCTGGAGACCTGCACAAGCTGGCCTTTGGTGACCCCTAAGGGAGCCAAGCCCCTGCTCAAAGCAAAGTGACCCCAGAGGGTGTCAGATACTGCTTAGCCCTGCCAAGCAGATTGCAAAGAAATGCTAAGCAGGGTTGCCATGGTGTTCTTTGTGCTAAGGGCGCCATAGGGTCGGATGGCTGTGTTTCTGGGGCCTGAGACTTAGGGATACAGCCCAGCAGTTCCCAGACCAGGCTGCCTGAAATACACCCCAGGGGTGAGGGTGCATTTACTCACCCAACGTCCCTGTCAGACTGCTTTACTGGGTCCCTTCATATCTTTCAAAGTAAATAGTATCATATTCACATACAGTCCCAATTCATTAGCAAATGGGAAGCACTGTTTTAAGGCAGAAGTAGCCTTAAACATTGTCAGCACAATGTCTTTCTTGGTTAAGAGCTTAGGCTCTGGAGTCCCGGAGATTCGGGTTCAAATTTCAGCTCTGCTACCTCCTGGCTCCGCCTCCCACCGGTTCAGGGGGGCTTGGCAAGTTAGGAGACCTACCTAGGCCTGCCTTCCTGTCTTTATGGAATGACGACTGCAGAACCTACTTCCCGGGATGTCTCGGGAGTTCAATGAGATGATACTTGTAAAGGACGTGATCATAAAAGTAGTAATAACTGCTCGTTTTTATTAAGCACGCATAGTACATCATATGGAGGCGAGGCAATTTACACGAACACATTAATGGCCTCTTACCTGGGACTCAAGGGCTTTCCCAGTCTGGCCTGACCCCGCCTTTCCAGACTTTCTTTGTCCTTTTTGTCCTTCCTCCCCAGTGCAGACACAAATCCTTGGCTGCAGCCACACAGGCCTCTGCTCCTCCTTAGAGCCACCACCTTCTTTCCTGCTCCGGACCAGCGGCAACCCCGCCCCCCCTTCACTTAGATCCACCTTTGTCTTAGGAAACTCCCACTCATCTTTCAGGACGCAGTCAGCTGTCAGGTGTCGCCTGCTCTTTGCAGCCCCCTGCCACATCCGGGCAATCAGCTGCACTCCTCTGTGCTCCCATACGCTTCCTCCACACCTTCCAAACGCCAGTGAGAGTCAGAAACATAAGTGCCAAACACTGCACTTAAGTGATTTTAACCATCTTAACTAATTAAATTCTCATGGGAGCCCTATAATGTAGGTTTTATGATAAACTTTGTTTTAGGATGCAGAATGTAAGGCACAGAGAAGCTACATAATTTGCCCAATGCCACACTACCCCTAAGCAAGTGGCAGCCACTGCACAAACCAGGCCGCCTGACTCCAGAGGCAGCGCTCCTAACCACTGCACTACACTGCTTTCCCTGGGCACAGGTGCTCAAGTCCACCCCTCCATCAGGCAGGGGAAGCCAGGGGTTGTTTCATTCATTTCTGCCTCCCCAGCTCCCTGCACAGTACTGGCCCACAAGCACATGCAAACTCCCTTCTCCTGCTTCCACATGCTGAAATAGGCTATTTCAGAAAACAAAAAAAAAGAAGAAAGAAACACTAATCCAGTAAAATTCATTCTCCTGTTCTGGTCTCCTTTTCTCTCTGTTCCTGATTTTCGATTAAGAATTTCTGCTCTGAGTTCTTTTTAATGAGCCCAGTATAGTCTCTTGGAAGTTGATGAATATAGTTTAAGTTTATTTTTTAAGCCTTTTCCCCCCATGGAGAAGTTTGGATCCTAAGAGACAGAGTGGCGGGGGGAACATATTATTTGTCATGAAAACTTTACCTGTTGAAAGGAAGTGACTCCATTCACAAAGAAAATAGTAATAAAAATTTCCGCACAAGGGTTTCCAGAAGTTTCCCTCCCTGACTGGGCAGCTCCTGGAGGCAGCCATGGAGCAGGAGGGAGTCCTGAAGAGGAGCTCGGCCAGGGCACCCCGGCCTACAGAGCAGCCTTGCAGCGGCAGCCCCGCCCAGCGCTGGGAGCCTGCACTCGAACGCCACCCGCAGGGAAGTTAGCTGGGGAGACCAGGAACCGTGCAGGGGTGGGGGAGGGGGTATTTGAAGAATCTTCGGAGTTAGCAAAACTGAAAGGTTGCCCGGCTGGCCCTTGTCCCTTTCTTTTTCCAAGCTTAGCGTCAGTCCAGGATTCCTGCCCTTTCCCCATCAGAAGCGGATCACATCTGGGGCCCACCGGTCCTTTACCCTGAGTTATCCATGTTCCTCCAGCCTTTTCTCCCCTTAGAAACAAAAGGTGGGAGTTTGCCAAGATTAAATGGTATTCCTTTCAAAGCCCCAAATCTGGCTCAGTTCAACACACACAAAAGGAGGCCTTTGAAGGCACTACAGCTAATTTTCCAATAAAACAAAAGTTTTTTGAATGAAGGCCAGTAAAGAACCAACATCTTCAAAATTAAGATCCTAATCAGCTCTTTAAAGAATGGACTTACAAGCGAAGGCTTAAATTGTGCTAAAGGCCTCAGATTTGAAAAGTGCTAGAAACGAGAATCAGGAGGTGATGGGGGTGCAGCAAGGAAATGCGGGGGCGGGGGAAGCACTGGCGTGCGCTCTGGCTTCCTCTCTGCAGTCCTGAGTTCATGAGTGTGTAGGATCTCGGCCCTGTTGTTCAGTATACACGGAGCACACCTTTTTTTTTTGTTAAATATTTTAAGGATTTTATTTATTTATTCTAGAGAGAGGGGAAAGGGGGGAGAGAAACATCTGTGTGAGAGAGAGACATCAATGTGTTGCCTCTCGCATAGCCCCAGCTGGCCAGCGTCCCAGGCACGTGCCCTGAAGGGGAACTGAACTGGTGACCTTTTGGTTCACAAACCAGCACTCAGTTCACTGAGCCTCACCCGCCAGGGCTTACACTGAGCACAACTTTATACCAAAACTCAATGGAGAATTTGGAGGTAGATATATCACACAGGGTTGCTGCCCTTGAGTGACTCAGCCTCTCGCCAAGCAGAGAAGACCAACAATAAGCAAGTATCTGCATACAAAGGACTTGGCACGTGGTAAGGGACTCTCAGGTTCACCTCCTGTCTTCTCCTGTGGACTATCAGAGAGGAAAATGATGTGACCACGAGTGCTGCCCCTGGGCAGAGAGGAGCGCTTTGACCTTGGAAAGGGAAAGCTCACTGTGGACCTGCACGGCCAGCAGGACTGGCACAGTGGAAGGTGGGCGGGGTGAGGCGGGCCATGATGAGTGAGAATTAGCTGGGCTGGGAGGGGAGGGTGGCAGGGCCCTCATCCGGGCCTCCAGTGCCAGGTCCAGCGGTTTGGCTTAGCCCAAGTTTCAGATAGGAAGTCATCTCTGAAAGTCATGGTGGCGGAAGGAGGGGGTGCTTTACGCATTAATAGGGACTTGTTTTATATTTTCAAAATCAGAATTTGAACCCTGGCTGGTGTGGCTCGGTGACTGAGTGCCGGTCTGTCAATCAAAGGGTCCCTGGTTCAATTCCCAGTCAGGCTGAAACCAGAAAAGACACCAGTGTTCGAGCTGCCTGTCACTACCAAACCCAATAAGCAATGACAGCGATTGAATCTTTAGGGGCGCTTTATTTAGATGGCCAGCAGTCTGAGAAGATGCGGGTTCATACCCTAACAGACCATCTTGTCTTCTCTTTCCAGGGCAGACTTTTTATAACACGGGAATAAACAAGGTGAGGGCTTTGAGATTCAGAAGCTGCAACATGCTTGTCCGGGCAGTTAGCTGTTCCCAGGGAAGGGTGGTCGTCTGTCTGTCTCTCCCTGGAACACAAAGGCCTGGAAGCCTCCAGTTGTCCCCAGGCGGTCATCTCTGGCATTGCCCCAGGAGGTCGGCTGTTTTCCCAGGAGCCAGGATGGGCCTTATCTGTAGTTTCTGAAACAAAAGCTTTAACATACACATTACTTGCTGGACTTATAAATTTTTACCTTAAGCTAAAATTTTCCAAGTCTTGAGTCCCCTATCAAGGGCACATGCTTGGGTTGCCATCCAGGTTATGTGAGAGACAACCACACATTGATGTTTCTTTCCCTCTCTTTCTCCCTCCCTTCCCCTTTCTAAAATAAATAAATATGTAACATCTTTTTTTTAATCTGAATTTGAATGTCTGGGGTAGGGGAACATTTGCTCTTCAATTTTCAGTTTGGCCCCAAGCCCCAGTCTTCCTATTGATCGCCCAATGTATACATTTGTGTTACCTGCCCAGGCCCTGTAGGAATTTGGGTTTGTGGCTCCTGCTCTGAAGGTAACAGGGACACTGAACATGTTCAGAATGATGGAAATGGTTTCAGAACTATTACTAATATTGTCAGATAAAGTATAGGTGCCCAGTTAATTTCAGATGAACAAAAAATTTTAATATACGTGCCACTTGATAAAATTATTCATATTTTTAAATTTCAAACTTAATTGAACATCCCGTTTTGTTTTCCCCCAGCCCCACTCATGTTGCCTAAATCAGCGGGATGGAGGAGAGCATGAGATCAAGTGTGGATGCAGAGTCCGCTCCCGCAGTAGGGCAGGGTCTAGGCTGGAGGCCAGAGAGGCTCTGAAGGCAGAATGGGCAGAACACGCACCTTGCTCAGATCTGCGGGCCCACAGCAGAGAAATAATCCAAGAGTTACAGACCCACAGTTCACGCTACAGCGTGGTCACTTAGACAAGATCCTCCCAGCCTCAGTTTCCCCATCGCCGCCTTGTAGTGTGTCATGAGGAGTAAAGAGGTCATGGAAACACCTTACAAGTGCTACACAAATGTGAGTTGTTAACATAAATGCCCCAGCCCAGTTCTTTTCCACACAGACTAGTGCTAAAGCCATGACTCTTCCATGATGTCCTGGCCCAATTATTTGGAACACAAGGGCAAAATGTCACCATATCCCATTTCTCCATGCTGCTTGGACTTGTCCAGTTCCCACTCCTCTACACGGGCACTTTAAGTGCTCAGCATTCCCTGCCCTTGGCAATCTTGACGACCTTTCCTCTGCTCTTTAATGAGTTGGGGACAGAGCCCCACAAACTAGAAGCTTTGACCCTCCAGGTGGCCCTCAGTCCCTTACCAAACACCCCCTGGGTCCCGTCGAATGTGCCTGTACCCACACCTGGCTTCTGTGCGCTCAGCCACCCTGCAGAAGCCTGCTTGGTGGACGATGAGGTGAAGGGCCCTGAGACTGACCCTCCCCTCTGCCACTTTCTGACTCTGTAACCTGAGACAGATTGCATGACTTTTCCATCCAAATATAAGGTTTCGTTGTGTTATTTGATGTCCTTTTATTTTACTTGCTTTTTATTCTCTTCACGCTCCAGTTTTATGACTAGTGTTTACACTGAAGGTGTCAACGATTTCTCTCTGAGTTACAAAGGACGAAGTCATATGATGAAGTCATATGAAACCCCTCTTGCCAGGATTTCTGAAGTCACTGTGCCACTGCACTAAGGGAGCTCTGCCTTCCTATACACACAGCCCCCCCAAACAGCGGCCCCCACCCAGACGCTGCACCTTTTCTTGGCCTCTGTTGCCACCTGCAGAATCCTCAGGGACCAGTTCAAGGACCCTGGATGGCAGCACACAGAGGAAGGCAACAGAGGCCTGAAGTCTCTGGGATTTGCCAGTTGTCAAGAGGCTTCAGGGGACACAACATCCTCACCTCTGGAGCTCGGACTCCAATATTTAATGAGCTGACTTTGGGTGAGTCACTTCTTTGAGCCTATTTCCTCATCTCTAGAACAGCATTGTATATCCACAATATTGCTTTGATAGTGATCATTGAGGGGTCGTTCACTCACCTATGTATTCATGAAGCAAACACCATGTTGAATTCAAACACATGAGAAGAAGACACTTGCCTAGAGGAAATCACAGTCTTACAGTGGCATCTGTCAGATCCGCAGGGAACTGTTGTTGTGACACTTGCTACCACAGAGGTATGAACAGAGTGTCATGTGAGCTAAGCCGGGACAAACTCAGGTGCAAGCAGGGAAGGTCACTTCACGGTAGAAGGGATATAAGGGCTGGATTTAGAAAAACACATTGTAGTTCACAAGAATTTGGGAGAACGCGGAAGAGCTATTCATCATGTAAAGAGGGGAATGGACATTCCACTGAGAGGGAGTAATGCATCAAACGCTTTGATCAAGCTTGCTCTGCAGCTTCTCAAGTGACTGCACTTTCAGATCCTGAAGCAGGCCTGGTCGGAGAAAAGCGTGAGAAAGAATTCTGCCAACTTCAAAGCAAGGAGGCAGCCACTTACTTCGCCTTTGGTGAGACCCAGTCCTGGCAGCAGCAGTCTAGGATGTGAATGAGAAAGAGGTGCTACCAGGCTTGGAAAAGAACATTCGAGTCAGGATCAGCATGTCTGCCTCTCGACCCGGCCTCTGCGACCCACTCACTGGGGACCTTGACTAAGTTCATCGTCCTCTCTGTGCTTCTCTGTTTTGCAAATGAGGATAATAATACCCACCTTGGAGTGTTGCAAGATACAGGCAGAATCATCAGCACAGTGCCTGACACACGCATGCTCAGATATGTTAGCCACTATTCTACTGTTAGACGGGCCCCTCCGGGAAGTTGTTTTACCTCAGCGAGCCTACTTCCCTCCTCCACAAAATGGGAATGCCATTTGCCCTGCATGCACGAGGAATTGTTTATGAAGTTATCATTGTTATATAAAATATGAAGTTCCTATCAACTTGAGTTAAAACAGTAGAAAATGAAATAATCAAACCTACAGTTTTCAAATACCCTGAGTGTCTATTACTTCTAAGCCATTTTCACTTTTGTCATCTCATTTAACTTTTCCTGGCAATAAACTAATAGGTGTCATGTTGATACTCATTTACATGTTATGAGGAGAGTCAGAGAAGGTAGGTTCATTGTAACATGTTCTCTGAACAGGTACTGTGAATAGAACCATGAACGAGAGAGGATCATGGGAGTTCTAGCTGAGCAGAGGGAAGAGGCGTGATGAGTGCGTTGTGGCCCCAGGCACGGCCTGTATGTATCCGGACCGCCTCACACCTGCCTGCAGCCCACCTTTCTCCTAGTTTTTCTAATACCAACCTCAAGTCCAAAACAAAGCCTCTTTGGACCTGAGGTTTGTATTAGAAAAGCCTCTTCACAGTCTCCCAGTTTCCTTCAGCAGCAACTATTCTTTCAGCAGCTTAGAGTCTTTTTCCATGCCTCTCTTTCTCTTACACCCCACAACTGAATCTTCTTTTATTCTCCTTTGAAAAGCATATCCAGAATCTGACCACTCCTCTCCACCTGCAGCAGTGCCCCCTGGCCTGGCAGCAGCCTCTCTCTCCTGGATCACTTCCTGGACCTCCGTTCTGCCCAATGGGCTCCTCGGTCTGCGCTCCACACAGCAGCCAGGGCGGTGCCTGAGCAGGTCTGTTGGCTGCTCCGAACTCATGAATGGCTCCCCACTTCTTTTACATTAAGGCCAAAGTCCATAAAATGGCTGCAAATCTCTATACAATAAGCCCCCTCTCAACAGATGATTAAATTACTCTTACTTATTGTTTGTCTTACTACAAGCTTGGTAAGGGAACCAAGCACTTTATAAATATATATGTTAAATGGAAAAAATGATTTTATACAAGAGTGTGGTTGCCTAGTGGTTAAGTGCTATGAACAAGAGGAAATTCATCGGGAGAGAGCCAGAATTCCAGCTGATCTTACAGCGTCAAACCCACAGCTTGTTTCACTAACACGGTGTGCAATGGAGTGCCTGGCACAGAGTAGGTGCTTTCATCTGCTAAATTAACTGGAATCTGAGGTGACTTCAGAAAACAGAGAAAGCCTTCTCTCAGCCTGTTTCAGAAACTACCCAGCCATCACCCTTCCCCTCTCTCTCCACACGCTCCAATGCACACCCGCACACTCTGCTTCTCTGGGCTGCTTTGCTTAGGTTGGAGGTTCTGTGGCTCCTTAACATGTAAATAGTTCCCAGGGGAAAAAAATAAAAAGACAGCTCAAAGTGGTTCTGCTAGAGAAAATACGGGCAGGGACCCCCTAAGCCTCACCGCTGATGAGGGAGAGACCAGATCTACCTAGAGATCTGCTAGAGAACGCCTGCTGTTTGAGAGGAGGAGGAAAGAGCACCATCGCCAGGAAATGGCTGTAAACAGGGAAGCTGCGGAAGTCCCACCTTGCCAGTTAAGGCCCTGGAGCGCTGGAGAACTCGGAGTAAGGGTGCCCTCTGCCGGGGAGCCTGTGAAATCAGTTCACAGTGGAAGAGTGCGGAGATTTCGAGGACAAAAACAACTAGACGAAATGTTAACAAATCTTAGGTGCGGCGCGTTATAAAAAAGGGGGGGGGCGCGGGTCTAGGTAAGGGCGCTCTTGGGCTCATGGGAGAATCTGGTTACACTGAGAAGGGTCAACGGACTGAGCCTGACGCCACCTGACGTTTGATGCACCTAACTCTCCGGCTCGGAGTTCACGCCCCTCCAGCAACCTCTCCTGCTCCGACCTCCCCTGGGGCTGGACTCCGGGAGCAAGATGCACCCCAGAGGCGGACGCAGAGGTGCGGACCCCGGGCAGCCTTTTCTCAGTGTACATCAATAAACGGCTCTCCGCCCGGTTAGCACCGCCTAGCCCTTCCCGGGCGAGCTGCAGGGTGAGGCCGCCGGCCCAGGTGGGGCGCAAGAGGGCGAGAGGGTCCGCACCGAAAGCCACCCCTTCCCGGGTGGGGTGAGGGCCCACTGGGTGCTCCGGAGGGGCCAGCGATGCGCAGAAGGTTTTGGAGCATCCGGTAGATGGATGCTCCGGATGCATTGAGAATGCATTTTTCTGGGAGGAGTCTAGGCTTCCTTCCGACTCAGAGTCTCCCAGTTGGAGGAAGGGAAGACCCCGCGCGAAGAGAAAGGACTCGAGGGGGGACCCGTGAGAGGGAGCCCTGGCAGTCCCGCCGGCTTCCGTCTGCTCCTTTGGGCTCATTCTCCCGCAGCGGCTACAGTCACCAAAGACTCTGGAAGCGGGTGGGTGTCGGGACAGTGGCCGCCCCCGCCCGCTGCCCTCGCAGGGCAGAACGCCTGGAGGCCAGCGGGGCGGAGAGTAGCTTGGAGTAGAAAGATTCCTTTAAGTCCAGATCCCCTCCCGCGCTGATCCCGGACCCGTGAAGAGGCGCGGAGAGAGCGGACAACTCCGAACAGAGCCCTCCCCCAGCCAGCCTCCGTACTGCGAGCGGCCGTCTCTCCACCTCCGCCCTCGTGGGAATGGGGCGTGTTCAAATGGCGCTCCGGGTTGCCTGGTGGCACAATATAGGGAGTTTTGTTCTGCATTCGCGACTGCAGGATCGCCAGCTTTCGGGACTGAGCCCCCCCGCCCAGTCTCCTGGGTCTGGAGGAGTGTGAGAGTGGGGTCCAGTTTATCCTCGTTTGGGGCCTGTGCATCGTAGGCATCTACGTCTCCTTTCTGCGCGGGGGGAATCAGACTGAGCGGGCTCGGAAAGGCGCGTCATCGCCGCGGAGACCCGCGGGCGGCGCGGCCACCGGCCACCTCCCTGGGTTCCTGGGAACTGATGCAATCACACCACAAGCGGGATATACTCAATCCAGACCAAGAAAAGGAGCGGCTTTCTCTCTACCTATCCCGGAGGAAAATAAACGGTCTCTTGGCATTTTCTCCCACTCCAGATTTTTAACACAATTTTTGGAGGTTGGCAGCAGTGGGCTGGGATGGAGAGGAGTTCCCCTCCCGGAGAGAACCTGCCCACTTCCAGACCAGTAGCGAGTCGGCGCCAGGCCCAGCCAGCCCTCCTGGAACAAAGCCCCTTTGTCCCCACCCCGCCTTGGGCCTACTGCTGTCCCTCCACCCCCGAGCTCCCTCCCTGTAGAGGATTACAAACAGCGCCACAAACCTCCCTTGTTTGCCCGGGGCAGTGAGCACCCTTCCTAGTCACTGGGAGAGAGTTCGGGGAAAGGGAAGTTTCCTTTGCTCTCACTGTGCGCCAGCACTCGAAGCCTGCCGGACGGTCCGGCCGGGAGGAGCTTTTACCGCAGTTAAGTGATGTACTTTGATCGAGGTCACGTGATGGATAAATGGTAGAGGGAGTCTCAAATCCAGCTCTGTTTTAGAGGCATTGCAGATATATGTGTTTATACATGCATAAATGCATGAATATATATTTCTTTTCTTCCCATGAATGACCTTTTGATACCGTTTTCGTTCCGGCTAGATCATTCAAACCTTGGCTGGCATTTGCTTGACTCCAGTTCTTCCACCTGCCCCAGTGAACATCTTCCCACCCTCTTCTTTACCCAGGGGGTGAACATCTTCCCTTTACCTGTCCCACATCCTTGGGGTTTTGGTAGCACTTAGGGCTCTGACTCATATGGCCAGTGCCTAATCATTTGGTTCTGGGTAGACAGCGCTTTTTCCGCGGGTGTGCCTTCCCAATGCTCTCCCCACCCCCCACACACACCACCCCTCCTTCAATGCACTTCCAGGGCCTGGGAGGATCCATTCCCTCTTCTCTGCTCTGCAGAAAGGCAGAGCCTCAGGGGTATGGCGACAATGGTTAACTGCCATCCCCTTAAGGAACTATTGGCAGCATCCACAGTTGTCCACGAGGGCTAGAGCCAGTCCCGGATCAAGGATGGTTGCCAAATACACAGGCAGTGGATTCTGGCTGTGGGGTCACCATGGGAGGGACCACAGACCAAAAGTACAGACTGAATGATGACTCGTGAGTGACTGTTACCATGGGGCGTTGTTTATTTGGTGGGAGGACAAATGAGGCACTTGCACTCACAGCTCCATACATTACAAAACTCCCCCTCCCCCTCCCTGCATGCCTCCTCCATTTGCATTGGCTGCGACCACTTCTTCTTGTGGGATGACTCAGTACAGATGGGAAGTTTGCTGTACTGATACCAAAAGTCATCAAATTAATTGAATTAAATGAATAAAAATAAAATGCCCAGGACTGGGGTAGGTGACCGATGCAAAATCTGCAATCCGTGATGGACCCTGAATGTTTGGATCAACCAAAAGCAAGGCCAGGGTCATGTTCGTGGGGTTCATGGACCTTGGTAACCTTGAGTCAGGAGGATCAAGCGAAAAGTGTGTGGGCTCCAGCCTAGTTTAGAATCTGGGTTCTTACGCTACTGTTACTCAACATTCCAGAGCTTCAGATTCATCTTCCATTAAAAACATTATTGTTTTTTATCTTGACAGGGTTGTTGTGAAAAGTGGATGAAGTACTATATTTGAAAGTTCCTGGTGTATAAATACTCAGTAAGGCTTCATTTCATTGTTGAGAATTGTTAGGAATAAAGTGGAAAGTTATTTCTGTCATCACATGTCAAAACCTCTGGAGAGACAGCCCATCAGAGGCCCTTGGGCACCTCCCACAGGATCTGGAGACACTGAGAAAGGAGAAGGGGGGTAGCAGAAGGAGGACTCAGGACCCAGGGGCACATTTCCCGCTTGGTTTCTCAGTTTGGGTACTTTTCTCAGAAAAGGAGGAAGCATGGTGTTCTGGCAGCATGAATATGTCTTGGCAATATTTTTTAAAAGCGTGCCTTCCCTGATAAATGTACCCAACTTTAGTCCTCACCTCTTTTTTTTTCTCTCTCCCATTTCATCCCATTGCCCTGTGATCTCAATTAGGCCTTTTGAATCTCAGTTTCATCATCAGAAAAGCTCGTGGTTGGCATAATTCATACAGTCATGATAAGTATGAAGTGAGATAACTTGTAAGCAATAAATTAGTTCTGTCTCCCTTATCTCATCGTTTCCTCTTCCTCGCTGACTTCTAATTCTCCTGGCTTCTCCTCCATCCTAGTCCCCACCGACAGTGAAGCCGAGGCCAGACTGGGTGCAGATGGCAGGAGTGGGTCTGGGTCGTGTGATCCCTTTATTCATCCCTCCCTCTGTGGACAAGACCCTGTGAAGATGAGCATCATTATGGTTGGCTCTTAACATCCTTTCTGCTAACAGTCTTTCACCACCAGCCTCTACTAGTGAATAGCTCTTGAATTACTTACTTTTAGGAACTCCTCACTGGGTGTGTGGTCACCATTTGGAATCCTAGAGCAAATAAATTCAATACTGTAAGCTGATTCAATTTGAGGCCATGCCTAAACCCAACAACATTAAAAATGTACCAGCCTAAGCTACGGGCTCCTTGGGCAAGTTATATAGAGAGACTTGCAGTGTTTATCTCAGCTTTTTGTTTGGACTTAGAGATCTGGCTTCTTCTGAGGATTTTCTGAGAGTCCAGGCCCCGAATATTCTAGCATTTTATGGGAAAAGACCCTGGAAGTCCAGAGCGGGTCTGGCTGCCCTTACACATAAGTTTTCCTCCCTCAGTGATGCTGCCTCCCTCCGTAGTTCCATCCCGATTGATTGCTTTTTTCATTTGTTTACATGCTAACTATTTGCTGTGATGGATGCCTGCTATGGGGGTCGAGTTGGTAATAAAGGTCCAGACATTTTCCCCCAATCCAGGACAACTCTGAAGGGTTATTTTAGCTTCAAAGCTCTCCATGGGCTTGCCGAGTTCTTTGGTCTGACTGTATCACAGCCCACCTCTTCTTAGGCCGATGCTCTGTCTGTCCCTCCCACAGCAGGTGTTGGCCCGGCACTGCCCAGTTGCTCCCTTCACGCCACTCTCATCTCAGAGCCTGTTTCCTGAGCCCGGTCTGTGCCGTGGAGCAGCCCGGAGAGCGGGCTGAGACGTACCTGTGCTTACATCCTGGCGGTGTCATTCAGTGGCTGGCTGACGCTGGCCAACTTGTTTGACTTCTCTAAACGTCGCTTTTCATCTGGGGAAAACGGAGCATTATGTATATAACGCATTTATATAGTGCGTAAGTGCCCGGGCCACAGAAGCAGCTCAGCAAATGTAGTTCTTCCCTCAGTAGTATTTCTTGTGCATGACACCTCAAATCCTACTAGAACTCATTTCTAGTTTATAAATGTTTACTAGATTTTAGGTCTTTACATTCTTAAAAGTAATACTGCATCTTTTAAAGGGGTGACTCGTTATTAAAGTTTCAGAACACTGTCTAAAGTGAAGCATATGGTTAAGGCATCAGAGGGCATACAGGTTTGGGTCACCTTAAATAAGCAGGCTCACTGTGTGACCTAGCCAACTGTTCCAGAATGTTTTCACCTATAAAGTGGGATATTAACAGTACAGACTAATGGCAGATGGTATTTTCCTGAAATACCTACAACCACGTTTCCTATCCCAGCTGCTCTTCTGAAATGGCCTTGCATTCCTCCACCAATAGATAAAGTCTAATTCCTGTCCCCTCGTAACTGGACTGGCCTCAATGACTTGCTTGACCATAGCACAAATAGAAGCAAAGTTCTGGAACTTTCAAAGCCAGTCCATGAGGCTAATCATTCTGCCTGGGTCTCTTGTAGTGTTTTCTGCTGCAACTCAGCCACCATGCTGTGGAAAAACACAAGCTTTGGAGAGGCCATGAGGCAGGTGTCTGCCTAACAGCCAGCAAGAGCGGTCAGCCAAGGGCGTGCGCCGTCTGAAATGGCCAGCCCCTCTGGGCCTTCGGATGCCTGTGGCTCCGGCCAACATCTGACTACAACCCCATGAGAATGGCCCCACTGAGCACAGTCAGCCTACAAGCCGTGACAGACAGGGATAAACTGTTGTTATGAGCCGTCAAGTTCTATGGCGGTTTGTTATACATGCAGCAATAGAAACAAACACACTATCTCCTAGGGTTGTTGTGAAAGTTAAATCAGATAACGCATACAAATTGATTAACAAAATACTCAGTAAATATTACTACACTTATTGAAAAGGGTGAGCTAATTGTAAGGGGAGACAAAGCACGAGTACAAATAACCCCAATCCTAAGCAGGCATTGTTTGATTCCGTATTTAGGGAGCACCTGTCACATGCCAGGCTCTCTACATGGTCATGAAATCTCTGAGTAGCAGAGAACCCTGGAATTCTTCTAGCTCAACCTCTCACCCAGCGGGGACATTCCTTTTTGAATGTTTGTTTAATCCAACCATTATTCATTAACCCTACTCTGTGCCAGGAAGGTGGTGGACAGTAAGGCTGGGTAGTGCTGTGACTGGGACACAGTCCAGTACCGGGGCAGACACGCGGGCAGTTTCTGCGCAGCGCAAGATCCTCGGAGAAGGGGGACACGTTTCCCCCGCATCCCATGGGGTGAGTTGTCTCACTGTTGGCCAACTCTAGCGTATATTCTCCGTGTACCAACTTGTATTTTGAGTGGGAGTTCTTGGGTCCTTTGCCTTCTTGCTCCATATCCTGAAGCTGGCTATTTACACATCCACTCACCCATCTCCACTCAAGCTGACCCTTGGGATGGAAGGTGGGCTTTGCCTGGTGCTTGGACACTGGCCCGCAGGCTCTTTGAGGGCAGTGCCCGGGTCTTGCCCATCACTGGAACCTCAGCTCCTAGAGCAATCAAAAAAAAGTGAGAAAAGAAAACAACAGCCAAAAAATGCATCCCATTATATGTGGGTTTAAAAAAAATGCCAAAGATTCCTTTAATTCAGGTTCATTTCAAACAACGGCAGCACAGAAAACTACCAGCATAAGCTTTCTCTCAAGCTTCGCAAGCAACACTATGATTTTAACAGGCTGAGATTTTAATTGGTGGATGAAACCAGTTTTTTAAAACCCCCTAAAAGTTCACTTTGAGTTCAGGTCAGCAAAGTAGTTCCTGAGCCAACCGATGAGCCGTCGCTGTTTCCCAGGCACAGTCACGTTTTACGGTTTCTGAAAACGATCTTCAAAATTGTTTTCCACACCATGAGCTTCATACGGATCTAAGGGCAAGGACTTTGGTTTTAAATGGTGCACTTAAGTTCTGTGTCACATTCGAGAAAGCTCTCGTCTTCTACGCTTGAGAAACAGAGCAAAACTACGACCCCCCAGAGCAGAGACGCAGCCCCCGAATTGGACCCTTGTCCCCAGCCTCCCTCACTCCCAGGCGTCAGGGGCAGGGCCCGGCTGCTTCACTGCCTCACAGTTTGCCTTTCACCCTAAGTCACATCCCTTCTCCTCATTCCCTTCCTCCTTATTTAAAAATAGTATCACTTATTTGTTTGTATTGTTTCCCTACATGACTGCAACTGTAGTTTATATAAACACAGTACAGGGATCTTTTTTTTCAAGATTTTTTTAATTTATCTTTAGAGGGGAAGGAGAGAGGGAGAGAAACATCAATGTATGGTTGCCTTTCATGTGTCCCCTGCTGGGAACTGGCCTGCAGGGAACTGGCCTGCAACCCGGGCATGTGCCCTGACTGGGAATTGAACCACAATCCTCTGGTTCGCAGGCTGTGCTCAATCCACTGAGCTACACCAGCCAGGGCCCCAGTACGGGGATCTTTTATTTACAATTTATCATATTTTTGTTGCTATCATGTAGTTGTACCATGGCAAAGGGGAGAGAATCTGTTTAATCAGCTCCAGAGATTAGGCATCCTCTATACAAAATCACCCAAACTTTCCTATGGAGAAAAATACAGAAAATCGGAAGAAAAAAAACCTGGTGGGGGAGGGGCAGCGCTTCACATGGGCAGAGGGAGAGGAACTTTCCAGGGACAACAGGGACCTCTTGTCGGGGAGCTGGGGACGCTGTGCACCGTCGACTCGGGCGAGGAGGATAAAGTCTCTCTCTCACCGGGATGCCCACTCGAGGGAAAGACTATTTGTGTGATGAAGCGGGGGATACAACAGTTTCCAGGGATAACCTCTACTTACTTTTTTCAATAATTAAAAAGAATCAAAATAGATGCTGGAGTGTCTTTACTGATTGGCTGCATTTTCATTATATTCAAAACACTGTCTCAGGGAGGATAGATATAGTTTCTCTTTATTGATTTCTTCTTTGCTCTTTCCACTGACTTAGTGAAAGTCAACCCCCAACATTGTTCTTACTCATCCTTTTAAAAAAAAAGCAATATCATGTCCTTCCATAAGTTAGCATGTGGAGAACTCCCTAAACAATGTCTAACTTCTCATAGTGAGTAATTCTGAAATTCAGCCCTTGTGGAGGTGTGCTGGAGAGAGAGGTGTGTGAACAATCAGATCGGTTGCCTTATCTTCTTTGTCCAGCCCAACCGCTTGGAGTTGGAGCCCTGCGGAGAGCAGTCTCAACTTGCTTTTCTGGGCAAGAACATGGTTCAAGGGGCTGCAGGATGTGAGCACTCGCAACAGTATCACGGACCTGCAGCTGGACCTCACACCCCCAACTCAGCAGCCTGCAGGGGGGCGAGTCAGGAGGCAGGGCAGGATGGCTCACAACACCGCTGCATAATGGAGGCTATTTAGGAAGCACATTGCATGTGGCCAGCAACAGGCTAAGCACTTTTCATCCATCTCACTCTTCACAACGTAGTAACAAATGAATAATTTTCCAGGGTCTCAGGGTTCTGGGAACATGTAAGTAAACAAAGAGGCAAAGACACCTGATGAACTGATCGATCTGAGGGTCTACTTGACCGTGAGTTCCTTGAGGATAGGTTCTTTAGCTGATGCAGTTTCATCTCTGCAGACCAATGCACTAGAAGACTTACTAGACAGTCTCTGGACAGTGGCTTAAACGGGCCTCAAAGTTGAAGGGAGCAAGAGAGATTGGGTTGCTCATAGAGCAAGGAAAATTGCAAGATGCAAAACCACCCATACACAATTGTGGCCATCCTGATGCTGTGGACAGCATTACAACATTGGGGATGGGGTTAGAGGCGCTGGCATCTAAGGGACCTTGGATATTCAGAAGCACTTGGGAACTCCCCAGTGTGGCTCCTCTGGCCTGAGCCCTTCCACATGGAACGTTCCCCGGTCAGCCCAAGAAGAGCCTTCGGTTGCTCTTCCGAAGCACTTGGACCCCCTTTGGCTGAGAGTCTCTGCCAACGCTCACTGCTGGGTTCCTCCTGTCCTGCCTCCAGCACGGGTGTGCCCAGGACGTCACAAGCTGGTACAGCCTGGGCATCGCTGTAAGCCTCCACTGGTGGTCTCAGGGAGAACACCAGGTCTTCCCAGTGTGCAAACAGATATTTTTGCGTCTGAAGGGCAGCATAATTGTAGGTAAAAAAGAGCAGCCAGTGGCCAGCTTCACGTGGAGCTGTTTTTTTCTGACTGTAGGTGGACAACTTTGCAAACCTTTGCAAAGGAAGCAGCCTGGTCAGCTCCAAGCTCTTGGCTGACTTGGGTCCCCTTCCCCTGGTGGGTCGGTCATGATTGGCACCAACTGTACATTGATAGCCGGTTGCACCAGCAGCATGACAGGTATTGTGAGGTCAGGGCGGGTGGATGTGATGCCCACAGGGACCATTTGCACACTGTGTGCCCATCGCCCACTTTTCTTTAGCTGATCTGGATGAAGTCACTCTCCAACCTGGGAGGTGCTGGAACACGGGGAGCTCGCCCACGCACAGCTGCCGCCGCTGCAGCTTCCCCGCGCAGCTGTGGAAGGCACGTCGCACCTGGCTGCCCTGCCGCAGCGTCCTGTGGCCTCTCTTTTTCTTTTCTTTCTTTTCTCATTTCTTCCTTCCTTCCCTCCTCCCTTCTTTCTTCTTCCCTTTTTTTTTTCCAAAAAGAGATGAGAGAGGAAGACAGAGATAGAGAAAAAGATCAAGTTGTTGCTCCACTTATTTGTGCATTTGTTGGCTGCTTCTTGTATGTGTCCTGACCAGGGATCAAGCCCACAACCTTGGCGTGTAGGGTGGAGGCTACAAGCAACTGATCTCCGTCTTTCACTAAGACTGCTGCACGTCCTCTGGTCTGAACCACAGCCTGCTGTGGGCCAGGCCACCCAGAAGCCTTTGCTGCCCATCGTGATCTGCAGCCCCTCGTCCTCATTCTCCCGCAGGAAGCAACAGCGTCCTCCTGCAAACAGCTGCCCGACAAGGGCATGGGGAGTACTTGGCCTGTTTTTTAAAGAGAAGTTAAAAACTAAAGTATCTGGCTTAGATGTAGTCCACTGATAAAGGCGAAATAGCTTTATAAATGATAAGGCTCCTTATATCTGTAGATGGCACCATTATATGTCCTAAGTCAAGCCGTGAGTCTGTGAGGCACTCTTGGAGCCGTCTACCTGGAAGCCCCTCCTCTGTCTTTCCCATGACATCCGTCCACGGCCAAGGCTGGGCCACTTGTGTTGCCGCACCTTCCTGGCCACAGTGCTTGGCCCAGGATGGACTGTACTCATTTGGGAGGAAAGGGAAGAGGAAAAGAAGAGAAGAGAAAAAGAAAACTTCCTGGGAATTTTCTTAGGCAGAGCTAACAGGGCTTTCCACCCTCTCTGGATATGAGGCCGTGGGGGAAATATCCAGAGCTGCCTGTGACCTTGCTCCTGGCTGTATAAACCAAGACCCTCGACTCCAGGGCGGAGTGAAGACAACACAGAGTGGGACAGAATCTTGTCATCCCGTGAGTCCCGGGTATCAATAAGCTTTTGTTACAACAAGATCCAGGAAATTCGGAACTAGACTAGCTTGTCTTTAAAAGGGGTTTCTGTTGCATGCAACCAAAGGAATCCTGACAAACACATTTCACCGTCTCGAAATACAATGGGAGCTGATGGGTTTCCATCCATTTTCGACACATCCTGTAATATGTGACTCATGGATAGAGGTTACCTGGTTGGGAAATGAGCCTTGAGAGGAGAGGTGGAAACACGGCAGTGGGGTTTCCGGGAGGCGAGCCGGCACTGCGCAGAACTCTCTGTGTCCATTCGCCACCACAGCCTGAGAGGTTGTCTCAGATTTGAACGCACAGCTGTGGGCGCTGATGAGCTTTGAGAAGTTATGTGATTTAGGGGGAAAAAAAGATTCACACGAGGATGCTTCACAGCACAGTGGTATTTAATTAATTTACACTGAAAAACAGAGGCGATGTATAGACGGAAACACTTCTATTGGTATCTTTTCTTAAAGATTTTATTTATTTATTTTTAGAGAAGAGGGAGGGAAGGAGAAAGAGAGGGAGAGAAACAGCAATGTGTGGTTTGCCTCTTGCAACCTGGGCATGTGCCCAGACTGGGAATCAAACTGGTGACCCTTTGGCTTGCAGGACTGTGCTCAATCCACTGAGCCATACCAGCTGGGGTTCTATTAGTGTCTTAATATTGATACATTATGTTCTGAAGCTACATACAAAACCAAAACATAATCAAAAGCTACTTTGTTAAAATTTGCTGTGACAAAGCATTGTCCAGGGTTTGAAATCTACGAGTTCGCCATACTCTAGTCAGAAAGTAAGCCAACAGAGGAAGGCAGGTCATGATAGAAGAATAGGACTGAAAAAAGGCATTAGGTAAATTGAGGTTTAATGACATTGAGCTAAAAATAACCTGATACAATCATTAGACAAGGCAGGAAATATAGCCTTTAGAATTGAAAATAATCATAGTTCAAGTCCCAAGCCCTTTTCTCTCTTGGATAGCACTCATATGTGCACAGCCAGAGTGTGTCTGAGTGATTTTTCTGCCTGTGCTGCACTGTGGCTGATCCACACCTTTTCTGCTGGAAACATTTTTTTCCATATAAATCTCACTGCACTCAGTGGGGTTACCAGGTCGTGGTGCGGCACAGTGGCCCCCAACCCCTTCGGCTCAGGAGTGCACATTGTGCGTCCCTCTCCCTGACTCTGCTTTCAGTGACATCACACTGGCAGCTTGGAACCAGCCCTGGGGGGAGTGTTTACACTACAGAAATTGGCAAACACTACGAATCAGGGTTTATTCTCACCCCTGCAAAGCTGGCTGTTCATTAACTAGCACACCGCCGTTTAGGAGTGCAACGGGCCAACACCCTTGTTACTTCTTTCAGGCGTGTATTTCCACTTTGGTCCATTGCAGGGCAGAGAATAACTGACATGCAGAGAACGGTTTTTGGCGTTATTTCTTAGGGGGCAGCTGGCTGTGTCTTGGCCCCCACATTAACGGGCTCGCCTGGCTATGGCTGCGGCCCTGTGGGAAGCTGGTCTGGGACGGACCCCCTGACCCTCGCACGGTGCTTCCCACCACCCCTCTCACCTATCAAAACTATTTCTGTGTGTTGTTCCAGCTACTGGGAAGGATTCCATAAAACCATTTATTCTAAGTTAGTATTGACACAATGTACTGACTTGCCTGGGACTATTTGTATTTTCATTGGAAACAGAATTTAAGGGAAGAGAGCCAAAGGCTGAGATTTCTAGCAGCACTGCAGACTGCTGCGGGAGTTATTTGGGAGTAAGGAATGTTAAGGTACCTCTCTCTCTCTCTCTCTTTTGGTTGATTCTTAAATGTGTCTCTACCAAGGATTGAACCCACAACCTCCTGCACTGGGATGACTCTCCAACCATCTGAGCAACCCAGCCAGGGCAGGATATTTCTTAAATGCTCTCAGGTTGGTTACCACCTAAGGATAACCCTGCCAACTAATTTGGCAAGTCTGGGAAGGAATGCTAATAGTAATGACAATGACGATGATGATGTGGATGATGGTGGTTCACTGTCCTTCTTGACAATGTCTCAGGGGATTTCTCTGACTTTTGGTAACCCTCAAATAAGAGAGATAATTTGACAAAACTTGATCAGAATCTCCGTGTCTCGATCATATAAAAGTACTTGTTGAAAAGCAAAGATTTATTACTTGCAATTTGGCAGACCCTAACAGCGGTCCTGATCTGCAAATACACCAATGACGACATCCAGAAAAGGTGCCGTAACCCGACGGCAGTGAACTCGGTCAGGTCTTGCGTGTCCCGGGGCACCCTCCCCTTTGACCAGACTGCTGAATCCTCATCTCTGGAACTTCCACTGCCCTGCAAGTTTACTGCTGAGTCCAGGGCACAGAACACACCTGGATTTGTCTAATCAATGCATACCTTGAGGAAACACACTCAGGAGAACCTTCAGACACGTAATCCAGGAGCCGCCCGCTGCCTGGTGTGCTTGGGGACGGATGACTCGGTGGCAGGCTTGGGCTGGCCTGCAGTTTGCTGGCTGCCAGGAGAGTCACAGGCAGCTCCTGCCAGCTCTTGGAGGCTCCCTGGGACTCCTCACTCTCTGGCAACTGCTTCTTGTTCAGCTCCTACTGCTTTATGACTCATCCAGTGTCTTCTATTCAATGCCTATTGTTTTAGGGATTCGGCTGACTCACGCGGGAGGGAAGCAAAGAGGTACGAGGTGGGTGCTGAGCCGTGTACTGAAGAGCGGGTTTATTGAGTTTTAAGAAAATAGGACTTCGGGATAAAAGGCAGAATTCCGAGGATCTTCAGTTCAAAACCTTCCCAGAGCATAATGTTCAACATTAACCATCAAGCCCATTTTTTTGTGTGTGTGTGTGAATGTAAATGTAAATGGCTCTGAATAACTGCTTTAATTTTCATTTACATCTATTTACCTTCTTAAAAGGGGATCATGCAATAATTTTAAAGGAAATAGAACCAATCCCGGGCCTCTTATAATAATATATCTCCATATTTCTAGGATACTTTACAAAGCATATTGTCTCATTGGACCCTTACAAAAACCCATGAGGTTGATACTTTTGTTATCCACATTTTCCACAGAAGGAATCCACAGCGGTTTGGTGCCTTTCCCCAAAGTATGATAGAAAATGAAGATGTGAACCCCACCTGCAGAGCCCCAGAGGGCGGGCTTAAGAACAAATAACCCCAAACCTTATACCATAGCTCCTCATAGAAACACTTTTGTGCAGAATTTATTGATTTTGAACTTCATTTTCCTTCCAAAGACGCCAGAAATACCAAAGGCTCTGGTCAGGGCCTGGCCTGGCCTGTACCCATAGCGTCTGAGGGCTGGTTATTTACAGCGACCTTCCAAGTCAGAGCAGTATTGATTAATATAAGTGCTGGAGGGAACTTCTCTTTGCACTCATAAAGTTTTAAAAATCTATTTTGTTTTTTTACTGAATATTGGCCTATCTCAGTGAGTATAGCCTTTTCCTACCCAAAAGGGAGCCGAGCCCTCCCTGGGGAAAGAGGACGGAAACCCTGGTCTCCGGCGGTCAGCGTCCAGAGGACGGCGGATGACCCTCCGACATGCTGGGCCCACGCAGTGCTCGGGAAGACACAACGGGTCCCTGTGGGTGCTAGGACTCCTGCACACTCGGGGTCTGTACGGCTCAGTCTGTCCACTTCAGATGAAAAGGAAACCTAAATTTTTCCAGATGGGCAAGGAGTGTCCAACATCACACTTGTCTTCAGGAAGGGCCTACCGATGTCCGTGAGAATCTTAATGGGGTGCAAAACATCTACAGCCCCTTCCCCTGCCGTCACCACGTTATTCTACATTTTCTAAAAGCCCTTTTCATTCAGCAGGAATTACATTTTTCCATACTTTTAAAATCATGTGAAGTTTAACTCTGAGTGGTTGTATGGGCCAAACTCCCCTTGTTACCTGTGTAAACTTCTCCCGCACCACCCCGAAGCCTCCTGTTTGTATTTGATGTTCTCAGCAGAGAGGACCTGTCTGGCTGGGCCTGCCTGTGCCGCTGCCCACAGGGAAGGGGTTCTGGGTTGGAAAAGTGGTCTTTCTGGAGTGTGATTGTTTCAAGACAAAGGAAGCAACCAAGTGCCGAAGGGTCAAATCTTACAAACCTGGGAGGCACAGGATGCATGCATCGTTTGGAGTGGGAGGCAGAGAGGAGATGCCCAGCCGGGAGGCCGGGAGGGCAGGAGGAGAGGGTGGAACTTGCCAATGAAGAGGGTGGTTCGGGAGCCAAGTCCACGAGCTCTGAGCATCCATCAGCTTCACCCTCAGTGTTTGAACCAGTGGTCCCAAGTCAGGACACAGGAAATAGATGGACCTCTTATTATTTCTTAATCATCAAAGTCATCTTTCGGTTCATCTGACTAGGATGGGTTCTTCTTTATAAAAATAATCTCTTACTTAAAGAAATTATTATGCAGTCTTCAGAGATAGAACACGGGCTTATAGCATACTCAAGTCTGCAAAGCCAAAACGTGTTGTCAGTGTCTGCTTTGGATGTGGGTGTTACGGACTGGATGACACCCCCCAAAGGTGGCACTGAGGACGACAGGCAGGGCCTCTTGGAGACTGTACCTAGTAAATGGGGGGGGGGGAGCAGGCAGGTGGGTCGTTGCTCTAGTACAGGGCCCAGGGGTCAACCTTAACCCATCTCCTGAGAGCATCTCCCTGGGTGCTCCCACACACTCAACACAATAAACAACAAGTGCTCATGTGCACTTTCTTTGTGGAATTTTAAGCTTAACAGTACAGTTGACCTTTGGCTGGATGGATGGCTTGGTTCGTTGGGACAGCCACCAGATTGCAGGTTCAATTCCTGCTCAGGTTGCATATGGGAGGCAACCGATCAATATGTCTCTGTCATTACATTGATGTTTTGTTCTCTCTCTCCTTTTCTCTAAAACTAATAAACATATCCTTGGGTGAGGATTGAAAAAAACACAGCTGGCCCTTGAACAATGCTGGGTCTAATGGTGCTGACCCCCACACAGTGGAAAATCCATGTGTAACTTTTGACTCCCCCCAAACTTAAGCTGTCCCTTTGTACCCAGAGATGACTGTGTCCAGGACTCTGTGCAAATACTAAAAGCTGTAGAGGCTCCGGCTCCCTGCGGGAAATGATGTAGAACAACGCACGCAGTCAGCCCGCCACGCCCGCAGACTCCTGGTGGTGGGACACAAACAGTACAGGTATTTATTCTCAGAAATCTGCATATCGGTAAACCCACACAGTCCACACATGCACCGTTCAAGGGTCAGCTGTAATTGGTTCGGAGGGTAATTGTTAGAAATCAGGCCAAGATCTGCGGGAAAAATATCTACAAAAAAAGAGACAATGTGAAATCCGAGAACCCATTTATGAAAGGCAAGCAGTAACACGCTGTATTGCTCATAGTGTAATTCTAAAAATTGCGTGTGTGGGGAGCTTATAGGAAATGCTGAACAAGACAGTTGCATATATGAGCCTGGCCACCCTGGAAAGGCAGCCAAGGATTACTTCCAGCTCCACCCAGAGAGGGCGCTACCGAAGGCTGGGGAGGAGACAGTGCCCCTGCACAGACTGCTCATTATTTCTGACACCGAGGGAGCTTCCTAATGCATACGCAAATAATTGAGCGTCTCTGTCATTTCCTTTGTAATTCAGATCAGTGAAGCAATATGCCTTTGGTGCTTATTTACGAAGGACATACCACAGATATTTGCTATCCCAAATAGCTTCTCAGAAAAACAACACTGAAAAGTTTCACTGATCTCACCTTCTTTATGTTTTCCCATGTAGGATTCAAAATTTAAAAAAAAAAAATCCAGATGTAAGTTGAAACTGCTTGAATGGCTCAAGAAGAAAATGGGAAAAAATTAAAATCACAGATAATTCCCAAACCTCATTTCAACCAGTAGAATCCTCCCCGTTCAGACATGTAACAAAATGGCTAATGAGCTGCTGACAATGACTTTAGTGAGTGTTGCAAGGTGCACAGCACTGCACGTAGCCTGGAAATGCCAAACTGACTCGTCACACCGTCTCTAAGGGCTTCCTGAATCTCCACGGCTCTGTGGGCTTCCCCTCCCGTGCACCAGGGAGCGGGCTGCTGGTCAGTCCCTTCCCTGCAGCACGCACTACGATGTGTCACACGTCTCAGCTGCACCATGACGTCTCCCCACTAGGCTCTGAGCTTGAGGACGGGGTCCATGTGTTTATCTCTGCAACCCTGATGTTCAAATCCATATGGGACAGATGAAGGACTGAATGAATGAGGAGCGCTTCCCTCTAGTTCCTTCCCCCAGCTCTCGCTCTAGTCTGCATTTAGCTGGAAGTGTTAATGCAGAGTGAAAAGCCAACATTCAGAAGGCACAACGGAGTGTCTGCAGTGTCTGCAAGTGTGGCTAGTCCACACCCGAGAAAACGGGCTTCATAGTGAAAGAGTTGACTGACTTCCCTTCCCCGAGAGCCTGAGAATACAACAGAGCCACAGAAAAATCTCCAAGCCACAGATGGCGTTTATCAACCCAAACTCCCGCCTTGAAACCCAAAGTAGCTCACTACAGGCAGCAGCCCAGCCCTCCAGCCACCTGCTGGGCCACTGGGCCCGTGAGCCAGAGGCACAGCCCCAGGGTGGTTCAGGGCAGACAGCCTCAGCCGCCTAAACTTAAGGATTTATTTTTGGCTTTATTATCCCTTCCCAGAGTTCAAAAAAGGCCACACAAGAATAAATAAATAAGACACTCAACAAAAAGCAGTGAACAAGAAGACACTTCCAAATGGCTCTCAAGAACAGTCTGGATGCCTGCTCCTTGCACGGTGCCAAGGGGCTCGAGCTGCCACGGGGCCTCTCCGGGCCTTTCGGTTTGCGGATATGTACAGGTGCGAGTACAGAGTCTGTGGGAGGCGCTACGTGTGATGTTGTGCACGGATGGCTAACAGTGTCATCACATGGACCAAGTCCAACCGATTAGTCTGTTTGATGGATGGTGGAGAAAACCCGTCCTCGGTCCAGGCAGGCAGCTGACCGGAATGACTTGCACCGCAGAGCTGCCATCCCAGGTGTGATGTGGCCCCACGTGCAAAAGCTCCGGGCTCCGGCCATGCCGTCAGGCAGCCATGAGACACTTCAGCCTGCCTCCTTGTGGCTCAGGTTCCTCGTGGAATGAAGGTGTGGCCGGACTGTCTCTCTGGTCACTTCTAAGATTCTCTGTCTTTGCTTGACAGAGACTCTGGCAGATGCTTGACCCATCAGTGCCCTCACCCTCCGCGTACCTTCACGCTGCTCAGACGGAGGGAAGCCTGACTCCAGGTGGTAGTGCTCACAGACAGAAGCGTTGGTGGAACACTGCCTAAGACTCTTAAATTCACTCCACGGCTCCCCGTCGTGGGCCAGTGTGGCCTCAGACTCCCCGACCTTGTATCACAAACTGATCAGGATGCCGGCTTGCCAGCTGCCCTTCTACTTTCGGCCAATTCAATTACTTTTCTGCAAAATGTACCTCTCACTACATTAATGTTTCTCATCCCCCAACCCGAAGCAAATAGTTGACCCACCGTTCTCTTCTGTTGCTTTCCTGGGCCCCGAGTTCCTGCATCTGTCTTTCAGATGAATGGTGGCCTGCTCCCCCACCCCTGAGACCTTGCTTTCTAACCTCACGGTGGCTCTTTAGAACACTCAGAAAAACCCGGACTGTTCTTTCTCAGCTGCGGAGGGTGGAACAAACTTTGGGAGATTCTGCTTCCTTTTCTTACCGCATTCAGTGCCAGGTTTTAAATGACAAATGTTTGATCAAAACATGGGGAATTAGCTCTCGAATCAAATTTGCATTGATGGGAGAGTTATGTTTTCAGGCCTCCAACACAGTATAAAAATAACTGCCTAAGATATAACTCTTAATCAAGTTTAAACATATATACACTCTCCAGATGGCTAGAATAGTTTTTGTTCTGCGGCTCCTTTCTATACATTTATACTGAAACAATAATTTAAGGACAGAAGTCAGAGTGCTTTACTGTGTTGGGCATCTGCTCAATGGATAAGAAAGACTTATCTAGTAAGTTGCAGAGTGTGAATTTTCATATTAGCTTAACATGTAGGTGTTTAAGCTCAATCTTGTCAGCCACAGATTTGATATATTTCAAGTGAATCCAGCTTGGCTAGGGACATCCTGGGCCTTACAGCGTCCACTCAGAGCTGGGCTCGCACCCTTGTGCCCTCTCATTTACACCCAAGAAGACTGTACTACACTGTTCAAGGGGCAACCAATCTTTGCCCTGGCATTCAAAATGTGTTATGCCATGTTTGGCATAAAACGCTTATCATTACATACAAGAAAAATGCAGCAAAATTCAACTTTGGAGACAAATGTCTTAAATGTCCTTGGGAGCTGTGCAAAGCTAAAGGATATAGCAGATTCTACACCCTAAGAAAGTTATTTCAAGAGCGAAGCAAGTCTGAACTTCACCAAGGTCAGCTGAGTCGAGGAGAAAGAGAAGCAAAAGGTAAATTGGCTAAGAATATTTATATTGGTTTTACCTTGAGTATCAGAGAGTAATAGGAGGAATGAGATTCCTTCTCATCGTCTCAAAAACCCTTTGGTTTAAAGCTGTCCTCTTTCTAATCCTTCCCTTCTATAATTTTTAATCATCACACCTGAACACCAGAATGTCTCAAGTGGTCATCTGCTTCAGAGAACGTAACCATTTTAGAAGTCTGCCCATTTCACATCAGATGACCTACACATAACCCTACCTTGAACACTTCTTCAGGTTTAAGTCTAAGGTATATACCATCTTCCTTTGCAAAAACATATAGACATCCCCAGGAAAGGCCAAAATATAATGATAATTGATAGTGAGCAGAAATCCATCATACAGACAAAGTATTCCAGCCTTCTCTATTTAAAAAAAAATCAAATGTGACTGGTCACTATTAGTTTTTCGAGTTCTATAACTCCCCAGAACTGTCAAAAGTAATCATGTAGCCAATTCGCTGGCAAAGGCTGAAAGCAACCTGGAACAGGCCACCCACCGTGCCAAAAGCAGTGTCAAAGAGCAGAGAGATGGCGCCGCCAAGGCCCACCGCAATGTCCCTGCACACGACCGGAATGGCGCTCATGGTGTACACGGGGAAAGTGGCCACGTCCACAAGGACTCGGACCGGGATGCCCAGAATGCGGCAAATAACCTTCAGCAGACAACAAAGGATCCGGAGAAGGGCCCTGATGATTTTGACTATGACTTTGAGTACCTTCCAGGGGATGCTTGCCAACTCTTCCCCGATGGCCAAGAAGTACGAGACAGTGGCTGATCCTAGACGGTACAGGCAACTTTCTATGCCATTAACCGCCTGCTTGGTGACATACCACAGGAAATGCACGATGCTCTTCAGAATTCCCACCACAAGATAACAAATTAATTGGAAAAGCTTGATGAATGGGGTAGCGACGAAGCCTATGAGTCTCCCCAAAACGCTGCTCCTCTCCTCAGGTGCATCTGGAGGCAGCAGCGCAGACCTCTTGCTCCGCGTGGCGGAGAGAGGACCAGCGCTCTCCTTAGATTGCACCATTCGCTCTTCATCCTGGACGTGGTTGACCATTTCTAGGATTTTTTTCATTTTCTCTGTGTCCTGTTCCGCTTCACCACAGTTGTTCTGGAACAATTGAGGGTTAAACGGAAGCAGTTTCTCGAGTTCTTTCACCATCACATCTTCTATGACAGCACCATCCCTGGTGTACTTGACAAAGCCCATGGCCCAGCCGCCTCCAGGGACAGCACAACAGGCCGCCAGCCAAACAAGCTCAGGGACGGTCACTCTGTCTTTGACTTTGCTGTCTGATGGCACGGCACCGGTGATGATATAGAGGTCATCCCCACTGCCACACTGTGGGGTCAGGGCCTGGTCCATCAGGCCATTGAGATTCATGTACCACCGCTCCTGGAAGGTCGGGGTCATGGGAGCTGCGTTTGTGAGAGCGAACATGGCTGTGTGGAAGTCACTGCCGAGGGAGAATGGGTACAGCTGTCCTCTCTGATAATCCGAATCCAGGTAATCGGAGCTCAAGGCTTGCTTGCTTCCCAGGTTGCTCACAGTGGTGATGGCATCGGCCTCATTCATCACCTCCTCAAGGTCACTGTTGGGGTCATCAATCTGAAAGAAGAGAGGGAGTGTTCAGATGCACCAGAGCACAGCCGAGAGCGTGTCTTTGAATTACCCTGCACTTGGGTTTGGAAGGGCCTGGCTTCCTGGTGCATGCACACTTTATTCTGATATCTCCCGGGCCTGGTGTTTGAAAGCATCTTTCGAACATGTTTCCTATCTCACACTCTGCATCCTCCACCCCTGCTCTGCAGTGACACCCCGTTGCACACATACAACATCACAACATCCACTTTCAACCTGCTGAGGTTTTATGAATTTCACAGCTCTCCTTTGGAATATTTTTCCATGAGATTCAAACTGATTGCAAAAATGAAAACGAGGTGAAAGCAGATCTCAACAGGCCCCAAAAATCAGAACTACAATTCAGATGACCAGCCACCAACATTGGCTGCAATTTAATGAATGCACTCTTAATAAATGTTTATATACTTTGGGTTATATGAAAAAATCAACTCTAATCATAGCTTCTAAATCAAGTAAGGGGAAACATGCAGCTACTGTCAGTTACCAGATACTTACCAAGCTAAACTAAAATTCAAATTTCACCAATTGCTGTTTGAACTTGATCTTCTCATGACATTGGCTATTATTGCCAATTACTTTTCTGTCTAGGTCAGTCTACAGATGTCCCAATAACATACCAGCAAACCTACTTTTGCCGCCCCCCCCCGTGAGTATTTGTGTGTGTGTGTGTGTGCGTGTGTGTATAATCTTGGTTTTTCTTTTTCTTTTTTCTTTCAGTTGGCAGTATGATACATTCCTTCACTTTACCAATCTGAGAGAACAAAAGGAGAGAACTCAGCGCTGACCTGGAACTCTGTTTTCACCCCTCAAACGAGACCGTCAATCCCTTGACAGCTGGGGCCCTGTGTATTTCCCACAGGACCCAGCCATGGACCGATCACCATAGAATCTCAAAACACGAGCTCACTTTATGCCCAGAGGTAGTCATCACGGCAGACCGGGCCTAAAAGCAGGAACCCGAACTGACTCACAATCTTCAAAAACAAGGAAAGTTAAGTAGGAGATGTTATATCTATCAATCAAATATCTAAAAACCATTGAAAAGCCCTGGACAGTAGTTATGAAGAATTTGAAATGGTGGGGAAATGTCTGCTATAATGTGGAAAGGGAAAGGCAGGATATAAAATTAAATAAAAACAATGTTTAAAGTCTAAAAATAGTCAAGAAAGACTTTGGAAGGAAACCCAGGCAACTGCCTGCAATGGTTGTGTGATTCCTGGGGATGCTGGAGATTTTCCCCTCTGCTGTTTTTCTCCCTGCACCTCTCCTACCAACATCGTCCCACAAATTATTTATATTACATGTTACTTTCAAAAGGAAACAAGCAAAAAAGAAACAAGTTAAAATAAATAAATTCTTAGTAACTGATGTCCTAGAGTTGGTGCTGCCTACTAAACCCAAGGAAGTCGAAGCCATGTGAATGAACGCTGGTGTCCCTCGTGTCCGGAGGGAAGCCAGCAATGCGTTTCTTTACCACGGCGAACGGGGGGGGGGGGGGGGGGGGCAGGCTCCCGGGAGTTACGGGCAGGGACAGCAGGGGCAGTGGGGAGCAAACTGATGAGAAAGCAGGATTAACTCCTGAAGTCTACGGATTACCCCAGGGCCTCACCCTTCCAGGCTGTCCCACCCCTTCCCCCAGTCCTGGAATCAGCAAGGTTCCCAGATGTTCTCCACTCCCACCAGATCCCCAGAGCACAGAGATAAGCAGCTCATTCATTTTGTAAAGCTTCTGCTGCTGTTCTCCTATGGATGAAAGATATACCACATGGAAATATCAGCCTCATTCCTGAATCATGAGCTCAAGGTACAGCAGAGCCAAGATTGTGGAGCCCTGAGTGTAAGGTCGGCGATTTCAAGGTGTGTGTTTCCATGGTCCCCAGGCATTCTGTCTGCATTCAGCGCACAACTTTTGGATCCCCTCTGGGGAAAGTCCGGCGCTTGTTTTCGAACTGGTAGCCCTGTGGCAGCATAGGCAGCGCGCTGGTGTGTTTTCAGCCCTGGGGCCACCCAGAGATGAAACTGGCTGCAGGGATAGATGACAGGCCTGGGACATGAGCAGAGAGGAGACTCTTGGATGAGGAAGGGGAAGGAGCAAAAGAGAGAGAAGCAAAAGGGGAGGGATAAAGGGGGGAAGGAAAGGAGGTAAGTGGGTGAGAGAGACAGAGAAAGGCGGTTATGTGTATGTGTGTGAAAAAGATAATATTCTGTGAGGCTGAAACCAAGCCCGTGTGTTGATTTCATCCCAAGGTTTAGAACATGGTCTCTCAGCTGCCAAGGTCGGAGGAGACTTAGCTGGTTGCTTCTGCATCCGCTCAGGCCAGTTAGGTTCACGGGGCTTCAAATTTCTGCTATGACTGAACATCTGGCAAACCAGGTTAAACCTTTTCTGCCCACACTTCATAGGTCCGAGGGAAATGGGCCGGGATGGCACCGAGGTTGCTGGGAAGGTCAGGGCCTGCCTCTCCAATGCGCTCTGTGCACTCCCTGCCCTGGGCCTCCCTGGGCAAAGGAGTAACTAACTACACTAGGTGCTGTGGATACACAGGCAGAGAGAACACACCTTCCCTTCCTTTGTTCTTGCTTTTACAGAACCCCATATGCATGGTCACTATATTCTTATGATCTCCAAACTTGGCTCTATGGGTTGATGACAAGATAGAATATAACGTTGGAGATCAAGACAGAATGCCTGCACACTGCACCTACATAGCGATGAGTTGCGGGGGTCAGGGACCACTAAATAATTTAACGACGAAATAATTGTTTTCAATGTAACATGATATGCAAGGTATTTTTTACCTTATTTTATAGGTGGGGAAACTATGACACAGAAAGATGATGTGACTTTTGAAAATCACCCAATAATTAGCAGGAACAGGATTTGAACTTAGAACAGTCTTTTTATTCCGAAAGCATATATCCTTCCCTGATCTTCATGGGCACTGTTATACCAGTTTTCTCTATCACGAGCAGGAAAAACAATGCTGCACTATCTGTACTCTCCTTTTCTGCGTGTGTCATAGAATAAATGAAGTCCCCCAAGGTTTCAGGGAGAGAAGCTGACATCCGAGCCCCGGTGTTGCAGCCCCAGGCTGAAGAGAGAGCAGAAAGGAGAAGGTAAAAGGCTGCCTGCACCTGCACGACTCCTTTCACCTTTGCCCGGGGCACACGGCAGCCGAGCCACTGGCTGCACCGTCTAACAGTGTGGCGGCACCGGCAGAGGGCAGCTGGCCAGGGCAGTGCGCAGACCACGGTTACCCCTGGAAACCGGTCAGCTGTCTGGCCCACATGCTCCTGTTAGCGCCTCACTTGGCTACTCCCTTCTTCCCCTCTATACCAGCAGGGATAGCAGAGAACAGCAAGCACAGGAAAAGTTCTTGGACAAAAACTGTAAAATCAGCCCCCTCGCCAGACAACCTCCTCTGCTCCCACTCCATGGGATGGAGCTGAACAGTTAGAAAGGGGACTCCATACAGCCGCGGTCACCTTCAGACTTTCTAGTGTGCTCCTTAAGACTTCCAATGAATGAAGACTCATTTGTGTTACCTCTTATAAGGATGGTTCGCTGGAAGGATAGATACAAAGGCACAGAAGCCAAGAGAAGTAAAACCAATAGGCTCCGGAAGACCCAAAACTGCAGTGTAGCTTGGCATTGCCAGAACCAAAATGGATTCCAGGCACCTCTAGGGGATTTTGGCACCAAGAGTCTGTGGTTGAGACTAAATCAACATTATTGACTGCCATCATTTCACCACATTGGACCTGTTGGACTTTTTCTATCTCTCCATCTTCGCTTCTTCACCTCCTTCTTTCTGCATAGCTCTTTCCTACTTCATGGCTTCTGCTGACTTACTGTCTGTTTCATCATCACTTGAGCTTGAACATGGAGCCCCCTGGCCTCCCTAGCCATGGACCATATGATTAACCTGCAGCTTTAGTTACTTCTGTTACTTAATTTCCTACTTCAAATGTTCAAGAGACAGAATCCTATGTGCTCAGCGCAACTTTTCATACAGGCCATGTCGAGACAAGCCTGTGGAGTTGCAGGCTCACCCCTGTTCGATGAGCCACGGATAGGTGCCGGGGACACCTCCGGTGGTCCACACAGGGCGTCCCCACAAGCAGAGGCCGTGGAAGTGTCAGGCACTCTAGGTTTGGCTTGTCTAGTCATAACCTTCGTTCAATGCACTAAATCAGTGTGAATAACTCTAGCCAAAATTAAAAGAAGAAATAAAAAATAAATTAGATAGGTTTATCTAATCCAATATTACTCTCAGACAAAAATAACAAAGGATATCTTATAAGATGACCTGTTGATCCTCCAGAAACCCTTTATTCTGTTCTTTGTGGATCCGATTAGATATACATCAAAACCTCTTTCTATCCCTTCTGTGTCTTTTTTAAAATATTTTATATCTCATTAACTCTCTACATTGTATCCTAGATGAGTCCCTCAGATATATCTTCCACTTTGCTAGCTCTGTCTTTAGCTGTGTCTAGTCTTCTAGTTTTGTTGAGATTTTTGTTTTTTACCTCAATGACTCTTTTTCTTTTCTAGCATTTATATTTAGTTCCATTTTAAATTCTTCTTGATTATTTTTTCTTGTGAAATTCACTTTTATCTTTCCATAATTTAAACAGGTTTATCTTAAAGTTTGTTTAAAATTTCTCTATTTTATTTGGTTTTTCAGTTTATTTTAGTAGCTTTGTTTTATTTCATCCGGTAGTTTCAAGGTGGTGGGTATATTAAGTGCTTTTCAATTTTTGTTGGTAAGTTTGTTTTCCTAAAGAGATCAGTGCTGTTTTGTTGAAAAAAACAATCACATTTAATAGGGTTACTTTTGTGATTGCCTCTGCCAGAGCCCTGAAGAGTTCAATAATTCTGAACTACTATCTGAGTTACTTTTCAGCTCAGGGTTTCCACAAGGAGAAATCAGGGCAAATTTGGACCCATATAAAAGACA